ATTTCAAAATAAGCCATCCATTATTTCAAATTTATTTTGAAATGATGGAATTGCTGCTCTCATTGTTACTTCAACATAACGCTGCTGTGTAGTCACACCCAAATAGTATTGACAGATGAGAAAAGAATGGGACCCTGGTGGCCTGAGTGCAGAATCCCTGACAGCCAGAGCAGTGAGTGGTAGTACTTTGGAGCAGCATTGCTGTGGTGCCCCAGCACGTGAAGTAGTTGAGCCCGGTACCCCGGTGACAGAAGCAGGGAAGCTACAGGGGCCAGCAGCTGGAGCAGGGGATCTGTGGTGCCTTTGGAGGCCAGTACAGGAAAGACCTGGCACCCCTGGAGAAGCAGAGCCTCAGGTCCCAAGGATGTTGGCTAAGGAGGTTCAACATCTATTATGTTTGTATTCAATTATGTTAGCTACTTCACTAGGTTATTAACTTATTAGCTGTGAAAATAGTATATACATCAACTATTAGATTATATATTTATATAAACTAAATCTTTTACTGCCTTGCTGCTGAAATATGAATTAAAGAACTTTAGGCTGACAGGGCAACTGGAAACTGAGTGTGTTCTTAAAGGCACCGTGGTGAAGAGAAACAGAGGTAAGTGGTGGCCATTGTATTAAATCTCCCTCTGGAAGAGGCTGCTCCCAAGCAAATAGGGGTTAAGCTTTTTGCTTAATGTTAATTACTATTAACAGCCACCCATTGTGAACTTTCCCTTTCTGTGGAAAGTTATTGGGCAGGCCATCATTGGGTAGCTTCATCTTAATCTTCATTCCTAATTTCTACACACTGACCAGTTTCACAGTCTCAAATTTGGTTTAAGTTTTTAAAAAGTCACTATTTGGGTCAAAAATAAAAGCTTCCTATTTACTTTAATAGCTCTGCTAGTGGCCTATTGGTACTGTTGGTGGGGACATATTGCTAACTCATCTGAGAGATCTGCCAGGGATGGGAAAGACTAAGAATTGCTTCTTAGTGGCTCTGGGTTTTTTTTTCTTGTTGCAATTGTAGGACAATGTAGTATTGCTAACTGCAACTTATGCCAGCGGAAAAAAGTGTTCTTTTTTGTTTTTCTTAAAACAAAAGAAAACAAAAATAAATTATATTTAATAATGATAAAATTAATACAATACTTCAAAATTTGCCTTATTATTTCTATTGTGTTGATATCATAGAGAAGTTTCAATGGGGAAATAACATTTTTAATTAAATGGAAATTTCTAGTGGCTAATATAACAGTGTAGCAGTGAGGAATGACTCTGAAATAAGATCACTGATTGTACCACACTGTTGGTTTTGCATGGGGATTTTTGCCCTTTGAAGGTCTTACCGTGACCACCATGAGCATTAATTTTCATTTTTTCTTCATTTGGAATTTCTTCATGTTCCTTAAGGCCACACTTACTATGAAGGTCTGGCATCTTGCATAATAGAACAGGAAGATTCTCCGCGTAATAAAATATGACAACTATACAAATAACTGTGCCATGTTTGTCTGGTTGGAAAGTTAGACCCTGTTTTTAAACACAAAAAGTAGATTACAAAACTCTTTAAAATCTATCCAGTGGCTGAATATTTGACTCGTCAATAAATGTCTAATCACCAGGACAACCCAGAAAAGTAATTCGTATAAATATATCACTTCAGAACTGGGTCAATATCATTTCCAGGAGTGCTGATGAGTAAGTTAAATTCTTTTGTGCCTATGACATGCCTTATGTGAAAGGGTAACTGGAAGATGCAAGAGTAATCTAAGGTCTAAAAAACAAGTTTAGAAAGTGCCCTTTGCCTCTGTGCCCCATTTCCCAATATTTCACTGAGAGGTTTCAAGATTTACTTTATTGTGTTTCATTCTGTGCCGACTTTGGAGTTGTACTAATTTACACCATTGGAGGTCTTGGCCAGCTGATTCTAAAGTGTTTTGAGTTCCTTAGATGAAAATAATTATTGCTGTATGTATCCATCTTTTAGCACCTGATATGTACTTCTCTGGCCTTTTTTTCAGAATACACCATGGAGTAGTGCAGCAGAGATGTCCTTTATTTCAATAGGCATCTAAAGAGGAGAGGCTGGAAACTAACAAAAGGGAGTATAGAGGTGTATAAACAGCCTATGATGTGATATATAAATCCTATACCAGTAATGAAGGGGTTAAAGAACATTAGTGGGCAAGGCTGGTCTTGCCCTTCCAGTCCTATCATTCATGTCAAGGATGGAATAAGAACTTAGTAACTGAGTAGAGAGTGGGAGCCAAAAGGCCCATGCTCATCAACCCAAAAAGACCCTCTAATACAATGAAATACGTTGTGACACTGGTGCTCCTACTTAGGCAGATGGAGGCATTCTAATAACTTCTGAGCACCTGACTGGTCAGAGGCCTGAGAACTATGACAGAGATGTATCAGTTATGGTTACTGTTCAAGGTGGTGCCTCATTGCTCATCTGTGTGGTAGGGGCAACAGATAGGGAGGGGCAGACAGGGAGACTCCACAGAATGGTGTTTTGGTCAGCAGGGCTAAGAGGACAAGGAAGGAGAAGCAACTTGCACAAGAGAACGAATTGACATATTACATCTCACTGGAGTAATGATGAAAGTTGAGGGATTAACTATTGACCAAAGTGTGATTTTTAAAACATGTGCTGCCCCTTATTCTAAGGCAGGGCTTGTGGTAACTCCATATTCTAGTTCTTAAAAAAAAAAAAGCCACTGACCATTTACATAAGAACTCAAAAACATGGCCCATAGTAAGAATGTTACTCTTATGTCATAGTAGGTGAATTATATTTAGGTTTCTCTTCCCTATAGTCTTCATGATTAAAAAAAAGTCATTTTAAACAGGAACTCTGTGTAGGGTTTCATCTATACTTACTTCTTAATCCCTATTTTTATTTCCTACACCTCTTTGTGACATCAAAATTGGTCATGTAGAAACAAGTCTGTCACTAAGGGTGTGTCTAGACTAGAGTTTTGTCGACAAAAGTCCACTTTTGTTGACAAAACTATACCTGCGTCTACACTACCACTGAGTTCTGTCGACATAATGTCGACAGAACTCAGCAGTTTTGTCGACGCTGGTAAACCTCATTTTACGAGGCATAACGCCTTCTGTCGACAGAGTTCTGTTGACAGAAGGTGTTATTGCATGTAAACTGTCCTTGCGTTTACACTGCCATGTCGACAAAGCAGCTTGCTTTGTCGACAGAACTGAATGTAGTCTAGACGCTCTTTGTCGACAGAAGCTTTGTCGACAGTATCTGTCGACAAAACTTCTGTTGACAAAACCCTGTAGTCTAGACGTACCCAAAGAGTTAGAATTTTGTGTAGGAATTAAGTAGAAGAAGAATAAGGAAAGTAAGAACTAGATCCTTACCTTTACCAATTGAATTATTTGTGATGATTAAAAGCATGGCTGGTGAATTTTTCCTGCTTCCATGAAATTGCAAGAATGAGAAACTTGGAAAATATATGATCAGTATGCAAATGAATTTTAAAAACATTTTTACTGAGTTCTCTGTCCATGGACTAGAAAATGCCTTCTGTCAAACTTATACTTCTCCACTAATGGATACGGAAATATAAAACAGAATCCTTTAACATTCTCTATCTTAATGTATCCTGACAAGTGCTGCACTCCTAATGAAATCAACAGATCTGATCTGATGTCCACTTAAATCAGTGGAAAGGCTTCTTCAGTGGTATTGGATCAAGCTCAATGGGTCAGTTCTCAAGTTGAGATCAATTCCACTTTATATAAAACCCAAGGAAACAGCAACCAAAGGTAGCCACATACCTTCCCCTTTTCCCAGAAAGCCAGTTCAGTTTGTGGTGCAACTCAATCCTTTGGTGCTTCTGATGTTGGTAATAACTCTACTCTACCTGAGTGCAGAAGCCCTGGTGGCTTGGAAGGATTGATAAGTGGAAGTACAGGTAAACGTAACCATACACAAACACCGATAAATGTTTCCATTAATAACCAAAATGTACAGAGACTAAGGAAGAAAAATGCTGCTTGAGAACTTATTTGTTTGACCTAATGATATTTACTTTGCACCTGCAGATATGATGTAGATAGTTTTTTTAACTGTTATAAAGCTTTAACTTCTTGAATCAAAACCTGTACTTTCATGACACTGCAAAATTTCCTGCAACTAAACAAATTATAAATATACTTTAATAAGAACATAAGAAATACAACTCGGTAAAAGAGATGGGTTAGCTTGGTAAACCCAAACACTTTTAAAATAATTGCAGACAATCAGCTTGTGGCCTAGAGAGTGAGAAATTCAAATCAGTGATGGGGAGAGGAGGTGGAAAGGCTAGAAGAACGTAGGGCAGAAATAAATAATACAACAATGCTGGATCTTGAAACTAGAAGGCTACAGGGGTAGGATTCCAGGCATAATTGATGCCAGGGAAGGGTGTATCAAGAAGAGGGAACTTAATAACTTGTTAAAACTGCAGTGTGGCAGATTGGCAGGAAGCAGGTGAGAGGAAGGGCAGAGGGCATAAGTACTGAATGTAAAGAATGATTGTGATTTGGGGCATGATTCAGTGAGCTACCGCATACCCTCAGTTCCCACTTGTAACCAGTTAAATATGCACAGCACCTCATAGAAGGTATTCAGTACCTTGTAGCATCATGCCTTTGTTGATCAATATCCATGATAGAAATGCCTCATATAGTTGATCACATATGTCAGTGTTTTTTCCCATTGCTTTCTAAAGTTGATTTCCTTAAACATCTATAGATTATTGGAATCGACACCTTCCCTAAATAATGTACACGTGAGTGAAATGTAACTAGGCCACTAAACTCATAGAGCAGGTAAAATCGCACTACTTCCTATGCCGCTTCCTAAATCATAATTCCTTCCATTGAAAATATTCAGCCTAAATGAGTGGCTAGAGGGGAGAATCTACTAAGTGTAAATTGCCCTTTTTTTTAGAGGGAAGAAAAACAGACATGCAACTGAAAAAAATTGAATTTCCTACCTGGTCTCCCGATAAAGTCAATTCTCTCGTTTGGAAGATTCCTTCTTTCTGTGTTGCAGTATCTCAGCAATAACTCACTTGTACACCATTCATCACCATCACAGATGGAAGCTACACTAGCATCTGCAGCAGCTGTAATGTGCATTGGATGAAAGATCTCCCTGTTTCCTGCTAACAATGTCAATTGTTCTACAGTCTCAGTATTCAGAGTTGACCTTTAGTAGTTAGAAACAGCATTCCCATCTGTGTCTGGAATGAGTTTTGAAGAAAAACTGTCCAGACGGCTAAAAATTCAGTGGTATTTATAGTTCATGGGGACCCTACTTTTTGAATCTGAAACCAATATATGAGTGTGTTGTAGTAGTTTTCCTTTTGCTATACTGCTTGAGTTGTATAGTCATGTAAATAAGTTTCCATCAGACATGAATCTGGAAATGAATTGCAGTGGAATATTTATTCTATATATCTCGCAGAATTTTAATTCCACAGGCCAGGTCCTAGCTGATGTAAATCCTAGAGCATCAACAATTGGTCCTATATTTGTTTGTGGCCCCCAATAACAGAAGATGGTATAAGGTAGAAGAGACAAGGCAGATGACTGACTTCCATTGATAACTTACACTGTGTATCAGTGAATGTCAACTTTGCTGGAGCTTAGCTTAGTAGCTGCTTTTTGTGGTCATTTCTTCTCTTCTATTTCCCTCATTCTCCCTTCTCCCTCCCTCCCATTCGTTAAATCCATCATTTGTATACAGGACAGAAAACTTCCCACACTGCAAAGCTGGTGGTCGTCTTTCGCAAATCTCACAGACTATCAAAATGTCTTTGTGTGTGGGGGGAGAGGGGGCAGGGGTTCTCCTTTCTACTTTGGACTTTTCTGACACTGTTAATGAGTCTACCAATTAATGATTACTCTGCAATGATACAGCAATGTAAGTATAGATGAGGATTCACAGACAAGTTAAAGCAATATCCTAACTGGAGGATCCAGGAATCCCACTGGATTCCTATACTCTGCAAATCAGCTCACATCAAATAGGTTTTCAGAATCCCTCAGAAGGCAGTACATTTTGATGACTAAGTAAGTTTAAGAACTTGTAATTTAGCTGTGAAGAGGCAAAACTTCTTCTCTGTATAGGAGCAAATTTTGCATTTTCAAATTGCATCAGTATTGCAATTTGACTTCATTTCAATTTTCGGAATATTTGGCCTAATACTGTTCCAACTTCACTATTTTTAACATGGAATAATTCCTCTTGCTTCATTAACTAATTTTTATTGATGTAAGAGGAAGATCAGGCACCTTAACTTTAGGTCTAATATGCTTTCTAAGATGGCTGCTTGTGATAGATATCAATATGATTTTCAATGTCTCCATCCAAATATTTCCACTGACCAAAGCTTGGACCAACACACTTCTTTTCTTGTATTTTGTTCAACCTTTATATCTGGAATGTTACTTTAAAACTGTATTTGTTGTTCTACCCTCTCACCAATGTAAAAAATGTTTTAAGTTGGTTCTGGATTTATTTTGAAGAAAGGAACAGTTTATCTCCAGCCTTTTTTTTCATGGATTTATGGGGGTTTTGTATAGTAAATAAAATGGGTGCAGATATTGTGAGCATCTGCTAAAAATATTTGATACAATATTCATTCAAAAAATGCAAAACCCATGGCCAAGTAACTTGAGGCAGAATCCAGTATGGTCCATATGTTACAGATATAGATATAGATATAGATATAGATATAGATATATACACAACATTATGTTGATTTTACTACATTAATATCCCTGCCCATGCTAACAAGTAGGAGGAAAGAGCCTTGAGAGGTAATTTAAGATAAGACCCTAGATTTTCTGGGTGAGATTCTTATGGAAAACAAATCTCTCATCACAAAGGTTTTATTTCCTTTCTATTTATATTATGTGAGCCTCTATTTATAGATAGGCACCTAAACTATGGGTTCTCAGTAATCACCACTGAAAATAAGTCCACTTATTCCATTGGATACATATGCCTGGTATTACTTCACCTACCTCGTCTCTCTTGGATGGCTAAAAATCTTGTATAAGACTGATTTCTGTTGGTGGGAGGGATTAGTTTTTTCATGTCACTGAACTTTTCCTCTGGTCTAGAGAAGGTAACTGGAGTATTTGAGCTATATATAAAGAGGGATAGCTTATTAATCATACGAGATTCCCACCTTGTATTTAGCTCATCCCACCTTGTATTTAGCTCAGACCTTCTCAAGGCCTGAAGAAGAGCTCTGTGAAGCACAAAAATGTGTCTCTTCCACCAACAAAGGCTGATCTAATAAGAGATCCTACTGCTCATATCCTGGAATCAATTTCATTATAACACTTTAGCCACCCAAGTCAGAAAATGTTTCCATATTACCTATCCTCCCCTGGGCTGAGCCATTTGTACAGCGAGAATCTGGGCCCTCCTCAAAGGAGTGTGATGAAGTTTCCTTCAGCAACATTTGTAAAATGATTTGACATCTTAAAATGACAGGTACAAATTAAAGGCATGTAAAATGAGATTAGGATAAATAGCATGGGACATAGTCACCAATCAAAGGGAAGATATTGTATCCCCTCTGTTTTAACAGAAACTAATTCAGTACCATTGTCTGATTTCATATCGCTGTATTCTGATCAGCTCCTGAAACAAATAATAAAATTTTCTAACACTTCTGCCCATTCCACCAGAACACATTTAAAAATCCTCTTGCCATGGTAACAATATATTGTTCCCTTGACTCGGGTTCCATAACTGTAGCCAGAGGGAAAGATATGACTGTAATAAAGCAAGCATTCTCACCCAAAATTGTCACAAAAGCCATTCTTTTTTATCCCCATATTAAGGATTTAGTATAATAGAAAACTATTTGTTATACAGAATCTGTCTTACTCTCTGAGAACTTTGAGCAGACACACTAACCAACAATGACAACTCTGGGCAATATTTTGTAGCTATTGTTCTTATTTAAGAAATTTACTGCTTTAACAAAATATTACTTTTGTGTTTGGGTTTCTTTTTTGAAGCATGAATTTGATATGGAATGTGGTCTCTTGAGGAAAATGTACTGAGCTGTTGTGATAAAGAACCCTGACGGACACTGTTGCTAGGAACTGAAGAATTAAAAAGACTCAATACATTTTAAACCTTTGAAGACTATATATGGGAGTATGAAGTGTGGTTCTGCACTTGTAATTGTCTTGCATGGAAAAATCAATAAGCAGAAAGATTTTACAGAAATTCACCATGACACATCATAACTTTAAGATGTGGCTTTGTGAAACTACAGTATGGACACCTTTAATTTCATTGCAATGCATTTGAAGGCCACAGCTCTCTTCCTTGTCTCTTGTTTTCACAATGTGATTCTCATGCATAATGGCTTTACACTGGTTAAATTCCATTGAGCTCAATTTTTGCCAGTCCAATATCCACTAAGAGCAATTGAAGGTGTGGACATGCAAAGAAGATATTTGTGATTTCTCCAATTCTGGGGCCAAATGACGGCTCTTATCTATTATTATTATATCATGTTTGTGGTGTTTGGTTGTGTGTAGTGAAGGCTATTTGTTTATGTGATTTTTAGTATAAAATCCGGAAAGCTACTGTCTACATTGTTATCTCCTATGAGCCACAAATAAAACCTCCTCCACAGACAGACTTCCAAGGTCTGGAACTTTGGAATGGAATAACCCATTGCAGAATTCCTGTGATTTAGATACAGTAATTATCTGCTTAACACGTGCCCACTTCACACGTTTTTGCAATAGCACAATTTTTTGGGGGGGAACGTTTTTCGAATAACATGACTGTCCCCAAAATAACACGAAAATAATCAAGTGTCAGACTACTTCGTGCTGCAGTGTAAGTTGGTGAAAACAGTGGTAATGTGCATGAGCGGAAGAATACACATGGTCACAGCGCTCCTCCACTCACTCACGTGTTTATCTTTGTGTTTTAACAAACCGTGGCAACATGTGTTGCTAAATATCTTGTGTTGCTAGGTATCTAATGTTGACAAGCCAGCACCAACAAAAAATTGACTTTGCCACCGCCATCTGAAATGCAACCTCCACCTTTTTCATTATTTTTAATGCGAAAATTGACCCCACATAGCACATTTTCACTTAGCACAAACACTTTCAGAAACGCATCTACAGTGTTAAATGAGGAATTACTGTACTCAAATGCACTCATTCTCCTTCGAATTCCCTTAAAATTCTCAGTGTGTAAGAGAGTTGTCTTGCTGAGGACACTATTATGACGTCTTGCACTACTTACATGTTCCTGAGTTGCTCATTCACACTCACAGAGATGAATAACATTGAAATTATCTTTGTTCTACTTTTCCATAATCATGTCACTTCATGGCAGACTTAGACATACTTTGCTAACTTTTCTTTTTCTTCCTCTTCTATGTTTCTGTCTTCTGGTGATATCAGTGAACATGGTCTTTGTCTTCCTTTCCACAACTACATCTGGCCTGTTTTAACAATTTGATCTCTAACAATCATCAGGTCTCATAAAATCTGAGCCTCTTCATCCATTTCTGTGGTTGTAATATTGCATGATTTGTTTAAAACTGTACTTGACACAGAGGCTCCAGTGCAGATGCCTAATGACCTCATTGTGTCTGTTCATATATCCTCTCCCAGCTAGGCTCCTGCAGGCACTCAACACATGCTCCACGTCTCTCCCTTTATGAAACACATTCTGCAGTCTGGGGAACAGTTCTGTTGGTCAATTTTGTTTTGAACATGATTTAACCTTAAGGACTGTTCTTGTGATCTCATTATCAGGCTTCCTGTCTCTTTTGAGAGGGCTTTGTCCAAGTTATGAGTTTGTTAATTTCCAGTCACTAATGGGTTCTGTATTTCTTCACCACAGTCAGTGCATTGATTTCTGTGTAAATCTTTGCAGTCCTTCTCTGGTGACTGTCTTTCCCCTTTTTTTCTTTTTCTCTATTAATTATAACTAATATTTGTATACTGCAGTGGTATCTAGGACCCCCCATCATGATAAGGATTCCATTGTGCTTCCACTGTGTGTTTCCATTTGTTGGGTACACAAACACCCAACAAAAAGCTAGCCACAGAGCAAAACATAGAGTGTCGTACAGAAATGCTGTAAAGCTTTGAACTATTATAATTTTCCTATAATGCCTAGTTGATCATTAGCACCAAGAGAGAGCAAGGAATAAAATCTAGTTGCTTGAATCTCAGTCAATAACTTGGCTACCTAGCCAAATTGTAAGTTTCAGAGGGGGTAGCTGAG